CATATATGCAATTGGCAGATACTATTGTTGGGTCAATGATGAGTACTTTATATTGCCTTGAGGAAAGATGATAACTTCAATATCAAGTACAATGGCATGACGCTGAGGCCCAGCCTAGAAGACAGTTGTGTAATCCAACCTGGAGAGGAAGATGATGGCCCCTTCGGTAATATCTAGTTTGGTGCTGTAGGACTTGACCTAAGGGAGGCCATCTTGGGGAGCATATAACAATGCTACTCCATAAAATTCCCCATGTTTTTCTTATACTTCAATTCTCAACCCAGATCCAGGCCATTTTGGCATTCCTTGCTGATCACCACATCACACTTCATGTCTTTCAGTGGAAAAATCTGTTCAGAATGGCTGCATGGTATGCACTGTCGTAAAGGAGTGCCTGACTTCGATTGGCTGTCTTGACCAACGCTTTACCAGTCACCAAGAGTCATCATTCAAGGGGGTATTCTTGGTCTGGAAGGCAAGCTGGACCTTCAGGAATGCATGTAGTTGTCCTCTCAAGGCATTGTTGAAGCAGGAGACAAAGGCGCCTTGAGATCATCTTGGCTTACTGTTCTGGGAGCCCCATACTTCTTTCTCAAACAGAGGATGAATACCCTTTTGTCCTGCTCTAAGGAAAGAGAGATTTATTCTCATTTAAAAATAATCAATGTATCGGTGACTCATGATGTTAATTGACATGTCCTCTGCTGCACCCTCTCTTGAAACTATAGAGGTTTTAATGGGGACACAGAGCAAAGAGAATCCACTGCTGTGCTGATGTGGGGGGCACACCACTCAAAAATTACTCTCCAAAATTTTTCGGACCACCACGTTTCTTCAGAACTCAAGCTGTGAGAGCAAACAGGTTAAATCCCTGGCAAAATGCCCCATAACCAAGGTTTGCTATGGAAATCCATCTTGGAGAATGAGGAACTCTTTCCCACCTGAGATACTAAGGGATGCATAACGAAGCGATATCAATTGTACCGGTCTGAACTTGATTCCATTCATGGAGGAACTTATCTCTCTCAGCCTACATGAAAGAGTCCACATGAGTAGGTATATAATGTTATCATTATGTTCGTGAAACGAGTGTTTGAGACAGCACGATTAGGGAGGTAGTAGACAGCTTCTTCACACAAGCTGTCTTCCTCTTTTTCACAGGGATCCCTTCATCAGAGAAATCCTTGGGAATAACTGTTAGTCTCTGGATGAAGGATGTCACCCACGTGCCCGGTCTCAATTCCTCAGAAAGTCAAATATTCTCAAGTAAACTGGTGGCATTCGGTAACTTGTGCTAAGGCTAGTGGTCTCTTTCAAAACGAGGCAGCAAAGGAGGATGCTTAACTGGGTCAGTGATGAAATCTTTGCCATTTCTCAAGAGTAGTGTTGACTTAAACATCTTGTGCAATAGGCTTACTCTGAGGACAATCTCAAGTGACAGGTGTGTAGCCAGACTTGAGCTTCAGGATTGCCCTGACATTGCTCTAGTGGGGGTGTACTGTAAGCCAGATGGGCTATAGCGGTGCTCCACCCTGAGGAAGAACTTCTCCATGAAATACGCAAATTCAATTGCAATCTCTTGACCCATTTCAAAAAGCCAGGCACTTTAACCAAACCTTCCATACCAAACATTAACTATTGGTGTCTCTCAAAGAAATATTCGGCCCACGCAGGTTGCATGGCATGCACCATGCTACAATAGAGCTTGATTGCGATGGGGAGTCATGGCCATCATTCATAATCCTGTGGGCCACCTAGGCACGGGACTCTCAATTCTGGATGCAAAATGTTGCTGAACCAATATGAGTACCTGTTCTCTTGAGAACCGAATTAGACTGGAGCACTGAGAGTCCACAGATGCTCTAAGCCTGGTGTTTGATGATGTACATGGTCTCTTCTAAACTCAGGGAGGAGAAGATTTTGTCGAGCATGGGAAAAACTGGAATGCAGGCCATGAATACATGCTAAAGCATTCTTTCACTAAACTTCTGCCTGATGATGGCCTTTATAGCGCATCTTCTTAGGAATCAGCAAATGTGGAATGGTGGTATAAACAAGAAGAGAGGGCTCCTGTCATATTGAGAGGGCATACACACAAAGAAGTAGATATGATATCCTCTTGTGAATTTATGAACACACTTGGAAGCTCAAGCGGTGAAAACTCATTGATTAAGAGCAGCAGGGTAGATACAAACATTTGAAATATTGCACAACAAAACCAATTATTACACTGCAGGCCTATTCATTATTTGAGATATGAGAGGACCCGCATCCAATAAATGTCACCTTGAACTATTGAATGCTGTGTTCTTTGGATCCTAATTCATGGGATCACACACTTGGCTCAAAAAACGAGGTCCCAACTGACATTTATTGTCTCGTCAGGGTGTATTTGGAAGACAGGTCTGTGGGAAAAGGCCTCCCAGGGGAAGTATCAGTTTCCTCTTTGACACAAGGTTTTTCACTCCTCTTCAGCCTGAAATTGGCCTGGAAATAAGCTGCTGTTTCAAGAACAAAGGTCTGTAATGAGGTGGGTAGCCACGGATCCACTGGAACTGAAATGTTCTCCCAAACACTCTTGCTGCTTGTCTTGTGGGGAGCATGTAACTGTCCTTGCTACATATATGCAATTGACAGGTACTATTGTTGGGTCAATGATGAGTACTTTATACTGCCTTGAGGAAAGATGATGACTTCAATATCAAGTACAATGGCATGACACTGAGGCCCAGCCTAGAAGACAGTTGTGTAATCCAACCTGGAGAGGATGATGATAATCCCTTCGGTACTATCTAGTTTGGTGCTGTAGGACTTGACCTAAGGGAGGCCATCTTGGGGAGCATGTAAATATGCTACTCAGTAAAATTCCCCATGTTTTTCTTATTCTTCTATTCTCAACCCACTTCCTGGCCATTTTAGCATCCCTTGCTGATCACCACATCACACTTCATGTCTTTCAGTGGAAAATTCTGCTCAGAATGGCTACATGGCATACACCATGGTAAAGGAGTGCCTGACTTTGATTGGCTGTCTTGACCAATGCTTTACCAGTCACCAAGGGTCATCATTCAAGGAGGTTTTCTTGGTTTGGAAGGCAAGCCGGACCTTCAGCAATGCATGCAGTTGTCCTCTCATGGCATTATTGAAGCAGGAGAGAAAGGCGCCTTGAGATCATCTTGGCATGCTGTTCTAGGAGCCCCATGCTTCTTTCTCAAACGGAGGGTGAATACCCTTTTGTCCTGCTCTAAGGAAAGAGAGATTCATTCTTTTTTAAAAATAATCAATGTATAGGTGGCTCATGATATGAATGGACATGTCCTCTGCTGCACCCTCTCTTGAAACTTATAGAGGTTTTAATGGGGACACAGAGCTTAGAGAATTCACTGCTGTGTTGATGTGGGGAGAACACCACTCAAAAATTACTCTCCAAAATTTTTCCTACCACCACCTTTCTTCTGAACTCAAGTTGTGCGAGCAAACAGGTTAAATCCCTGGCAAAATCCCCCATAACTGAGGTTTGCTGTGGAAATCCGTCTTTGAGAATGAGGAACTCATTCCCACCTGAGATACTAAGGGACACATAATGAAGCGATATCAATAGTACCCGGTCTGAACTTGATTCCATTCATGGAGGAACTTATCTGTCTCAGCCTACAGGAAAGAGTCCACATGAGTAGATATATAATGTTATCATTATGTTCATGAAACGAGTGTTTGAGACAGCACAATTGGGGGGGTCGACAGCTTGTTCATATAAGCTGTCCTCCTCTTTTTCACAGGAATCCCTTCATCAGAGAAAACCTTGGGAATAACTGTTAGTCTCTGGATGAAAGATGTCACCCAGGTGCCTGGTCTCAATTCCTCACAAAGTCAAATATTCTCCAGTAATCTGGCAGCATTCGGTTACTTCTTCTGAGGCTAGGGGTCTCTTTCAAAACGAGGCAGCTAAAGAGGATGCTTAACTGTGTCAGCAATGAAATCTTTGTCGTTTCTCAAGAGTGGTGTTGACTGAAACATCTTGTGCAATGGGGTTACACTGAGGACAATCTCAGGTGACAGGTGTGTAACCAGACTTGAGTTTCAAGATTGCCCTGACATTGCTCTAGTGGGGGTGTACTGTAAGCCAGATGGGCTATAGCGGTCCTCCACCCTGAGGCAGCACTTCTCCATGAAATAGGCAAGTTCAATTGCAATCTCTTGACCCATTTCAAAAAGTCGGGCACTTTAACCAAGCCTTCCATACCAAACATTAAGTATTGGTGTCTCAAAGAAATATCTGGCCCACACTGGTTGGATGGCACGCACCATGCTACAATAGAGCTTGACTGGAATGGGGAGTCATGGCCATCGTTCATAAGTCCTGTGGGCCACCTAGGCACGGGATTCTCAATTCTGGATGCAAAATGTTGCTGAACCAATATGAGTACCTGTTCTCTTGAGAACCGAATTAGACTGGAGCAATGAGAGTCCACAGATGCTCTAAGCCTGGGTTTGATGATATACATGGTCTCCTCTAAACTCAGGTTGGAGAAGATTTTGTCGAGCATGGGAAAAACTAGAGAGGCAAGCCATGAATATATGCTAAAGCATTCTTTCGCTAAACTTCTGCCAGACGATGGACTTAATAGCGCATCTTCTTGGGAATCAGGAAATGTGGAATGGTGATGCAAACAGGAATCTAGGGCTCCTGTCATATTGAGAGGGCATACACACAAAGAAGTAGATATGATATCCTCTTGTGAATTCATGAACACACTTGGAGCTCAAGGGGTGAAAACTCATTGATTAAGAGCAGCAGGGTAGATAAAACATTTGAAATATTGCACAGCAAATCCAATTACTACACTGTAGAACTATTTATTTCTTGAGATATGAGAGGATGCACAAACAGCAAATGTCAGCCTGAACTATTGAATGCTGTGATCTTTGAATCCTAATCCATGGGATCACGCACTTGGCCCAAAAAAGGAGGTCCCAACTGTCATTTATTATCTCATCAGGATGCATCTGGAAGACAGGTCTGTGGGAAGAGGCCTCCCAGTGGAAGTATCAGTTTCTTCTTTGACTGTGGTTTTTCACTCCTCGTCAGTCTGAAATTGGCCTGGAAATAAGCTGCTGTTTCAAGAACAAAGGTCTGTAGTGAGGTGAGTGGCCACGTATCCCCTTGAATTGAAATATTCTTCCAAACGCTCTTGCTGCTTCTCGTCGTGAGCATGTGACTGTCCTTGCTACATATATGCAATTGGCAGATACTATTGTTGGGTCAATGATGAGTACTTTATATTGCCTTGAAGAAAGATGATGACTTCAATATCAAGTACAATGGCACAACGCTGAGGCACAGACTAGAAGACAGTTGTGTAATCCAACCTGGAGAGAATGATGATGGTCCCTTCAGTACTATCTAGTTTGGTACTGGAAGACTTGACGTGAGGGAGGCCATCTTGGGAGCATGTAACTATGCTACTCCATAAAATTCCCCACGTTTTTCTTATCTTCAATTCTCAACCCATGTCCTGGCCATTTTAGCATCCCTTGCTGATCACCACATCACACTTCATGTCTTTCAGTGGAAAATTCTGCTCAGAATGGCTGCATGGCATACACCATCGTAAAGTAGTGCCTGGCTTTGATTGGCTGTCTTAACCAACGCTTTATCAGTCACCAAGGGTCATCATTCAAGGAGTTATTTTTGGTCTGAAAGGCAAGCTGGACCTTCAGCAATGCATGCAGTTGGCCTCTCAAGGCATTGATGAAGCAGGAGAAAAAGGCACTTTGAGATCATCTTGGCATGCTGTTCTAGGAGCCCCATACTTCTTTTTCAAATGGAGGGTGAATACCCTTTTGTCCTGCTCTAAGGAAAGAGAGATTCATTCTTGTTTAAAAATGTATCGGTGGCTCATGATGTGAATGGACATGTCCTCTGCTGCACCCTTTCTTGAAACATATAGAGATTTTAGTGGTGACACAGAGCAAAGAGAATCCACTGCTGTGCTGATGTGGGGAGCACACCACTCAAACATTACTCTCCAAAATTTTTCCTACCACCACCTTTCTTCAGAACTCAAGCTGTGAGAGCAAACAGGTTAAATCCCTGGCAAAATGCCCCATAACCAAGGTTTGCTATGGAAATCCATCTTGGAGAATGAGGAACTCTTTCCCACCTGAGATACTAAGGGACGCATAACGAAGTGATATCAGTAGTACCTGGTCTGGACTTGATTCCATTCATGGAGGAACTTATCTCTCTCAGCCTACAGGAAAGAGCCCACATGAGTAGGTATTTAATGTTATCATTTTTTTCATGAAACGAGTGTTTGAGACAGCACAATTTAGGAGGTAGTAGACAGCTTGTTCACACAAGCTGTCCTCCTCTTTTTCCCTTCGTCATAGAAATCCTTGGGAATAACTGTTAGTCTCTGGATGAAGGATGTCACCCAGGTATCTGGTCTCAATTCCTCACAAAGTCAAATATTCTCCAGTAATCTGGTGGCATTCAGTTTCTTGTGGTGAGGCTAGGCGTCTCTTTCAAAATGAGGCAGCAAGAAGGATGCTTAACTGCGTCAGCGATGAATTCTTTGTCTTTTCTCTAGAGTGGTGTTGACTTAAATGTCTTGTGCAATAGGGTCATGCTGCGGACAATCTCAGGTGATAGGTGTGTAACCCGACTTGAGCTTCAGGATTGCCCTGACCTTGCTCTAGTGTGGGTGTACTATAAGCCAGATGGGCTATAGCACTGCTCCACCCTGAGGAAGCACTTCTCCATGAAATAGGCAAATTCAATTGCAATCTCTTGACCCATTTCAAAAACCGGGCACTTTAACCAAGTCTTCCATACCAAAAATTAACTAGGTGTGTCTATCAAAGAAATATTCGGTCCACGCTGGTTGAATGGAATGCACCATGCTACACGAGAGCATGACTGGGATTGGGCGTCATGGCCATAATTTATAATCCTGTGGGCCACCTAGTCATGGGACTCTCAATTCTGGATGCCAAATGTTTCTCCACCACTATTAGTACCTTTTTTATTGAGAAGCATATGAGACTGGAGCAATGAGAGTCCACAGATGCTGTAAGCCTGGTATTTCATGATGTACATGGTCTCCTCCAAACTCAGGGAGAAGAGGATTTTGTCGAGCATGAGAGAAACTGGAGAGGCAGGCCATGAATACATGTTAAAGCATTCTTTCGCTCAACTTGTGCCAGATGATGGTCTTAGCAGCACATTTTCTTAGGAATCAGGGAATTTGGAATGATGATGCAAACAAGAAGAGAGGGCTCCTGTCATATTGAGAGGGCATACACACAAAGAAGTAGATATGATATCCACTTGTGAATTCATGAACACTCTTGGAAACACAAGCGGTGAAAACTCATTGAAAAAAGCATCAGGCTAGATACAAACATTCGAAATATTGCACAGCAAACCCAATTATTACACTGTAGACCTATTCATTACCTGAGACATGAGAGGACCCGCATCCAATATATATTACCCTGAACCCTAGAATGATATGTTCTTTGGATCCTAATCCATGGGATCGCACACTTTGCCCAAAAAGAGAAGTCCCTACTGATACGTATTATCTCTTCAGAAAGTATTTGGGAGAAAGATCTGTTGGAAGTGGCTTCCCAGTGGAAGTATTGGTTTGCTAGTTGACAAGGCATTTTTAACTCCTCTTCTGCCTGACACTGGCCTGGAAATAAGCTGCTATCCCAAGATCAAAGGGCTTTAATGAGGTGTATGGACACGGATCCTTTGGAATTGAAATATTCCCCAAACGCTGTTCCTGCTTGTCTTGTGGTGAGCATATGACTGTCCTTGATGAATATATCGAATTGCCAGATACTGATGTTGGGTCAGTCATGAGTACATTATGTTGCCTTGAGAGGTGGTGATGACTTATATATCAAGTACAATGTCATGACACTGAGGCCCAGCCTGGAAGACAGTTGTGTATTTCAACATTGGGAAAATGATGATGGTTCCTTCGGTACGATCTTCTTTAGTGGTGGAAGACTTGTCATACGGGAGGCCATCTTTTGGAGCATGTAACTATGCTACTCCATAAAATTCCCCCATTTTTCTTATACTTTAATCCTCAACCCAGGTCCTTTCCATTATACCATCTTTTGCTGATCACCACCCCATACTTTGTGTCTTTCAGAGGAAAATTCTGCTCAGAGTGGCTGCATGGCATGCACCATCGTAAAGGAGTGCCTGACTTTGATTGGCTGTCTTGACCAATGGTTTGCCAGTCACCGAGGTTCTTCATTCAAGGAAGTGTTCTTGGTCTGGAAGGCAAGCAGGACCTTCAGCAATGCATGCAGTTGTCCTCGCAAGGCATTGTTGAAATGGAGGAAAATACTCCTTGCGATCATCTTGGCATGCTGTTTAAGGAGCCCCATACTTCTTTTTCAAATAGAGGGTGAAAACACTTTTGACCTGATCTAAGGAAAGAGAGATTCGTTCTTTTTTAATAATAATCAATGTATCTGTGGCTCATGATGTAAATGGACATGTCCTCTGCTGAACCCTCTCTTGAAACTTAGAGAGGTTTGAATGGTGGCACAAAATAAAGAGAATCCACTGCTGTGCTGATGTGGGGGTGCCCACAACTCAAATATTAATGTCTAAAATTTTTCCTACCACCACCTTTCTTCAGAAATCAAAATATGAGAACACACTTGTTAAATCACTGGCAAAATGCCCCATAACCAAGATTTTTTATGGAAATCCATCTTTGAGATTGAGGATCTGTTTCCCACCTGAGCTACTAAGGGAAGCATATCCAAGTGACATCAATAGTACCCTGTCTGGACTTGACTCCATTCATGGAGGAACTTCTGTCTCAGCCTACAGGAAAGACTCCACATGAGTAGGTATATTATTTCATCATTATGTTCATTAAATGGGTGTGTGAGACAGAAAATTAGGGAGACAGTAGACAGCTTGTTCTCCCAAGCTGTCTTCCTCTTTTTCACAGGGATCCTTTCTTTAGAGAAATTCTTGGGAATAACTGTTAGTCTCTGTCGAAGGACGTCACCCAGGTGCCTGGACTCAATTCCTCACAAAGTCAAATAATCTCCAGTAATCTGGTCACATTTGGTTACTTGTGGTGAGGATAGAGGTCTCTTTCAAAAGGAGGCAGCAAAGGAGGATGCTTAACTGAGTCAGTGATGAAATCTTTCTCTTTTATCTAGAGAGGCGTTGTCTTAGAAGTCTTGCACAATAGAGTTACGCTGAGGACAATCTTAGGTGACAGGTGTGCAAACTGACTTGAGCTTCAGGATTGCCCTCACATTGCTCTAGTGGTGGAGCACTATAAGCTGGATGGGCTATCCAGGGGTGCTCCGCCCTGAGGAAGCACTTCTCCATGAAATAGTCACATTTGATTGCAATCTCTTGACCCCTTTCACAAAAGCCAGGCACTTTAACCAAGGCTTCCATAAAAAAAATTCTCTATTTGTGTCTCTCAAAGAAATATTCTGCCCATGCTGGATGGATGGCACGCACCATGCTACATGACAGTATGACTGGGATTGGGTGTCATGGCCATCACACATAAATCCTGTGGGTCACTTAGGCAAGGGACTATCAATTCTGGATCCAAAACGATTCTGAACCCATATGAGTACCTTTTCTCTTGAGAACCATATGACTGGAGCAATGAAAGTCCACAGATGCTCTAAGCCTGGTGTTTGATGATGTCCATGGTCTCCTCTAATCTCAGGGAGAAGAGGATTTTCTCGAGCATGAGAGAAACAACAGAGGTAGACCATGAATACATGCTAAAGCATACTTTCACTCAACTTGTGCCAGACAATGTCCTTAGTAGCACATCTTCTTAGGAATCAGGGAATTTAGAATGGTGATGCAAACAAGAAGAGAGGGCTCCAGTCATACTGAGAGGGGATACAAACTAAGAAGTAGATATGATATCCACTTGTGAATTCATGAACACTCTTGAAAGCTCAAGCGGTGAAAACTCATTGATTAAAAGCAGCAGGGTAGATACAAACAATCCAAATATTGCACAAGAAACCCAATTATTACACTATAGACCTCTTCATTACTTGAGATATGAGAGGATGCTCATCCATTATGTATAACCCTGAACCCTGGTATGCTGTGTTCTTTGGATCCTGATCCTTGGGATCACACACTTTGCCAGAAAAAAGAGGTCCCAACTGACATATATTTTCTCATCAGGAAATATTTGGAAGTAAGGTCTGTGTGAAGAGGCCTCCCAGTGGAAGTATCAGTTTCCTCTTTCACACGACATCTTTGACTGCTCTTCTTCCTGAAACTGGCCTAGAAATAAGCTGTTATTCAAAGAACAAAGGCTGTAACACGGTGGATGGACACAGATACTCTTGAATTGAAATATTCTCCCAAACGCTGTTCCTGCTTGACTTGTGGTGAGCATATGCCTGTCCTTGCTACATTTATGGAATTGGCAGATACTCTTGTTGGGTCAATGATGAGTACTTTATATTGCCTTGAGGAGCGGTGATGACTTAAATATCAAGTACAATGGCATGAGGCTGATGCCCAACCTAGAAGACAGTTGTGTAATTCAACATGGGGAAAATTATGATGGTCCCTTCGGAATGATCTACTATGGTGCTGGAGTACTTGAGGTACGGGAGGCTATCTTGTGGAGCATGTAGCTATGCTACTCCATTAAATTCCCCATGTGTTTCTTATACTTTAATCCTAAACCCAGGTCCTGGCCATTTTAGCATCCCTTGATGATCACCACATCACACTTCATGTCTTTCAGTGGGAAAATCTGCTCAGAATGACTGCATGGCATTCACCGTCATAAAGGAGTGCCTGACTTTGATTGCCTGTCTTGACCAATGGTTTACCAGGCACCGAAGGTCATCATTCAAGGAGGTGTTCTTGGTCTGGAAGGCAATTGGACCTTCAGCTATACACGCAGTTTTTCTCTCAAGGCATTGTTGAAACAGGACAAAAAGTCACCTTGAGATAATGGCATGTACTTCTAGGAGCCCCATCTTTCTTTCTCACATGAGGGTGAATACACTTTTCTCCTGCTCTAAGGAAAGAGAGATTCATTCTTGTTTAATAATAATCAATGTATCTGTGGCTCATGTTGTAAATGGCCATGTCCTCTACTGCGCCCTTTCTGGATACTTAGAGAGATTTGAGGGTATACAACTCAAAAATTACATCCAACATTTTTCCTACCACAACCTTTCTTCAGAACTCAAGATATGTGAATACACAGGTTAAATCCCTCACAAAATGACCCTTAACCAAGCTTTGCTATGGAAATCCTTCATTCAGAATGAGGTACTCTTTCCCACCTGGGATACTAAGAGAGGCATGCCCAAGATATATCAAAAGTACCCTGTCTGGACTTGACTCCATTCATAGAGGAACTTCTGTCTCAGCCGACAGAAAAGACTCCAAATAAGTAGGTATCTAATTTCATCACTATGTTTATGAAATGAGTGTTTGAGACAGCAAAATTAGGGAGGCAGTAGACAGCTTGTTCACTCAAGCTGTCCTCCTCTTTTACACAGGGATCCCTTCTACAGAGAACTCCTTGGGAATAGCTGTTCCTCGCTGGATGAAGGACATCACCCAGGTGCCTGGCCTCATTTCCTCACAAAGTCAAACAATCTCCAGTAATCTGGTCTCATTTGGTTACTTTTGGTGAAGCTAGGGATCTCTTTCAAAAGGAGAGCAAGGGAAGATGCTTAACTCGGTCATCAATGAAATTTTTGTCTTCTCTCTAGAAAGGTGTTGTCTTAAAAGTCTTGCACAATAGAGTTACGCTGAGGACAATCTTAGGTGACAGGTATGCAAATTGAGTTGGGCTTCATGATTGGCCTAACATTGCTCTAGTGGTGGAGCACCATAAGCCGGATGGGCTATCCAGGGGTGCTCCACCCTGAGGAATCACTTCTCCATGAAATAGTCAAATTCGATTGCAATGTCTTGACATCTTTCACAAATGCCAGGCACTTTAAACACGCCTTCCATACCACAAATTGTCTATTTGTGTCTCTCAAGGAAATATTCTGCCCACTCTGGATGTATAGCATGTACAATGCTACAAGAGAGCATGACTAGGATTGGGAGTCATGGCCATCACTCATAAGTCCTATTGGTCACTTAGACATGGGACTGTCAATTCTGGAACCAAAATGATTCTGAAACAATATTGCGGGGGCCCGCCCTGCAAGGGTCGTGGGATGTGTTGAAGGAGAGACAGATAGGCGACGAACTAAGATCATATACCGGACACCTGCTTCTTGAACAGATGACAATTTAATGCTAGTTAATACAGAGCTTTTATACCATTTTTGAAGGGGCAAGACAAAGAACACTCTTTCACATACATATCTTTTAAAAGTTACCAGCTAGTGGTCTTAGTAGCAAACAAACCAAGATTCCCATAGGCTTTAGTAGCAAACAAACC